AGGCGGCGACAAAGCGTGACACAGCGTGCAACAGTATCAATTCGAGAACTACAGTCAGTCTTCTCTTCCGGAGGAACACGGAAGAGGAAGGGAGGGGTTGGGTGTTGTCCAGGACCTTGAGATGGATGCAGCCGGGCTACAAGCATACATAAGTAGCAGCGGTAGCAGGCTGTGCCGGTTTGATTTTCGACCTGGCGTTGGGTTTTGTGTCGACTGGAAAACGCAGCACCCCCTCCACGTGTGTGGAGGCTGAAAGTGTTTGGGGCGGGGGGAGGGGGAGGGGGAGGTAGGATTGTGGTAGAATGTAAATATTCTTGGTTGACACAATAAATACTTTGTAGGGGTTACATTGTTGACACAGTGCCAACGTAGACAGCGCGGGGCACATCGAAGGGCTCACGATGTTGTTATTATCAATATTCAAAGGAGTGCAATGAATATTTACATTGATGAGTCGATTTACAGGTGCAGGTAGATGTGCTACGCACAATAAACATGTCTTCAGCTCACATGTCTCTGTGTTGGGTACAGTCTACTGTATGTACGTGATCCGCCAATGAATTTGCGCCATCTGCCACGCGTATTTGTACGAACTACAATAACAAGGTCAGCCTGGATACGTAGGCGTTTGGTTTTCCGGCGCGTGTGTACCGGTGTGTACTGCAGTCCAGCGAGTTTTTAGAAATGGGGGCGAAATGAGTTCGTTGTGCAAATCGTGCGCGTGCTTTGGTTCTAGACTATCTATATTCCCGTGGTTTAAAAGCTGGAAAGATTCTCTGACAGACTGCTTTGGCCAACCAAGTGAATAGGACGCCGTAGGTAGGAAGCGGCCGTTTCACTCCTCATCACGCCCTGCTTCCAGAACGCGAAACGCTCGCCCACCGCATGGCGAAGTTTTAGTTGGCAACAGCATCAGACTTTGCGGCAGTGGTGTTTGTAGATCGTTGTTTTCGCCGCGCTGCCGTCCTTCTGTGGTGTCGTGTGTGTGTTTAGCTCTGTTTTTACAACTTGAAAGTACGCCTTGACATTGCTGTCACGCTTTTTAAGAGTTTCATTTTTTTTGTGAAAAGCTCGAATTGTTGTTGTTTTCACATCAAAAACCGTTCCGGTCTCCGTCGCCCATACAAGACGGGAACGTGTTTCACAATTCACTATAATTGCTTGTAAAGGCAATTGTCCTTCGATGAAGTCCGACGTGCGGCGAAGAATTCCGCTGGGCTTTCGAGCACATGCTTCGGAGGCCATGCTTGTTGGTGTAGGTCATTTGACCACAAACTCTCGCCCACTGCATGAGGAGTTCGCGAACGCACCAAACTACAAGTCAAACATTCATCGTCTCACCAGAGAGTTTACTGGCCGCAACACTCACACAGCACCGGTGAAGCAAGCTTCCGGGGAAGAGCTTGGCCCAACGATTCATGCTCCCGATATATGCACCAGCCGGCCGATCGAAGAAAGCAAGAAATTCATAGGCATCTCTTGGACTATCATTGCTACATGTGCCGCACGCCCACACGAACCCGGCTCTCCATCGCCATATGTAGCTACAGTTGCCTTCGTGGGGCAACTCCGGAGCTTTGGGTGCTGAAGGGGGCCTGACCACGAGACCCTGTGGTGGGTCTGGTTATCAGTCACAGCAGTTGTGGCGTGGGCGACCTCTGTGCAACGACCATAAACCGGTATTGTCCAACAAGCCCACCACAATCGTCGTATGCGTGTGGCCGGCCTTAATGAAGAAGCTGCTGTCCGGGAAAGCTTCCTGTCATGGCGGCTTCTCCAGAACAGTGCTTGGCAACCGATTCCCCACACTTGGAACTGTTGGTGTTGCCATTGGGAAATTGAACTCATCGCCGCTTGCGCGAAATCCAATTTTTACTGTGGTGACTGTAAGCTGCGAGCTCAGGCAGGTCCTCACCCCCCTACCTGCATACCATACGCCATCCAACCGGAGACCCAACCCCTGCAACCGCACCCGGCAGAACCTATCTCATCACCGGCCCAACTATCCCTGTGCCTTGTATGCCGTGCCTCCTCGCATTCCCCGCAAGCCCGATCGAATGACGGGGTTGCTCCCTGCAGCAACCTACGGTAGCCCCAACCAAAACTAAATAATGACGTCGGCATCCCAAAGAACTCTCGCGACTGACGCTAAAGCCATCGCTCCCTCTTCCACGCAGCCAACACAAACAAAGGGATGATTGTACACTCGAAGTACGAAGGCAACACGTTTAAATCAGAAGGGCTGATTGTACACTTCAAGACAAGTTCTGCCTCCCAACCATCCTTGATGTACTCGCTCTCCATCTCTCGCTGTGTGTGTGTTCATTTATCTCCCGCACCATTAACAACAGATCACATCGCCAATACCAACTGGCGACGCCCAACGCAACCCATGAAAATAAAACCATGACACTCTGCCGTAGCACGCTCAATAGTGAACCGACCACGCTTACGCCAAATGCAAAACAAGCTGCCCGTCGTCCACTCGATCGACATGAAAAGAGCAAACGCGTACATTCTCGATATGTTTCAGGGCGAAGAACTGGCTTCACCAAAGGAGAGGTGCGAAGCGTTCGAGCAGCAGCAGCAGTAGCAGCAGCGACGAACAACCTGGAATGCTTCCCACCTGCACTTTCGCTCTCCGCAAATCAACAAAGGGAGGCACGCAACGCACCCTACATGGGGGGTTCCACTATCACTTTTCAACAACATCAACACACGAGCCAACATAAAAAACATAAACATACAAACGACACGGCCGTATGTATACCATACGAGAGGCTCGTCACCCCCCCTACCACCTATCATCATCCACAACGCCCCTGACTCTTGTTGACAAACCCTACAGGTAATACTCCGGCTCGTACTCCTTGCCCCAATCTATCTTAGTCCACGCTCGCTCGTTCAAGAAGAAGAGTGCCTGTTTGTAACGTGGAAAAATAGAAAATGAAGGCGGTGATCGGGGGGGGGCGGGGGGGGGTTAACAACAGAGACGATGTTTTTCCTCTTTTCGTTCAGGCAGGGCGCAACGAAAATTCAATCGCAGCGGCTTCTGACCCTGCCGTACATACAGGGCCTGCTTAGCAGAGGTGGCCTTGGTGCAAACTGCGGGTTTCATTTCATGCCGACAGAGAAGAGAAGGCGGAGCGTATTAGGCAATACAGGGCACAACACGCCAAGCCGTTTGCACCGGGCCAGAATCAGGTACCGTTCACGCCTGTTGGAGGCACACGTCGTACGGTGAGCATCTTTACCATGCCCGCACACAGAATAACGCAGAGTAGACAATGACAGAGTGCCTCGCAGGCACGCAGACATGGAGCAAGCGAGGCTGTGCCTCGCTGCTCTTCCGAACACCTTAGTTCATGACATTAGAGTCAGCCATCGTCTCAAGCACCACCCACGATATACTGCTGCTGTGCGGTAATCTTCGAGCATAGACAGGTTCACCCCCTTGTGTTTCAAGAACCCCCCCCCTCCGCGTCCTGTATTGCCTGCTCCAAGAACACCCGCCACGCCTAATCGCGGCCCCTTAAGGGCTCCGAGTATGGTCACACGCGAAACGCTGTATGGTGCCGGCTTGGGATTCACCATCAAGCACGACCATCGGTGCATATGCACTCTCCTCCTCCATTGCCGCAGCCCCCGCAACCGATCGCCCACCAAAAAAACGCAGTTCACTTCAACGAGACGCCGCCGAATGTCGGCCCAAGTTCGTCCAGTTGTCGATGCTCCACACTCCCTCTCGGCGGATTGCAAACTCCCGTGTCACCCCCGTCCGCCCAAACCTCCCAACTACGATTTCGGAGATGTTGAGCGCGTCAGCGACCAGCCTTCTTCGCCTCCGCAAAAAAACCCCGCACGCTCACTTACCGTCTTGAACAGCGTATCCGTGCCGGCAATCTTGGAGGCTACGCTAAGGTCCTTGGCCAGGAACACGCCGCAGATTAGGGTGTTGGAGGCGGCGAAGACTCGCCACAAGACCGCCTTGGCGAGGGACCTCTTCGTGCTGTCCCCGGACTTGTCCTGGCCCCACTTGACCTGCACTCTCGCAGACAGCAGTGGGGAGCGAGCGCGCGAGTCGGCGCGATGACGAAGACATCACGCCCACGAAACGCAAAAAATCCAGCCACAACAGGTATCCAACAGGCTTGTCCGTCGGGGGGGCGCGCGCGAGAGGGAGGGGGGGGGGCACTCATGTACACGCATGCCGTGATCAACCTCCGTCCCTACAATGCTGGAACGGAGCGCGAGGCCGGGTTTTCACCAGCCTAGGGTTCGTACGTTTCACGAGGGTGAACCAGAATGGAGGGGGCGTGAGCAAGGAAGCGCGTCATGCTGTATCCGTAGAATGTTTTTTGTTATCTAGCAAGGCATACGGGAGAGCGGATAGATGCGAACGCTTTGCCTTGCCGTGCGCTTTGTATCTTCTATGATTGATTTTAGTGCGTAACGCTAGCAGCTGACTGTGTCCGGCCCGACCAGAACTCCAAACAACAGAAAACAAAGTCTTGCCACCTTCGTTGATCATTGTATGCACCACGCCAACTCTAACACCATGTTTGACAGAAACAAATGGAAAAAGCTACTTCTAGCATGTTAGAACTCGTTCGTTCCTGCTGATTGCCACCACCACCAACTACCGTAAGGATGCGGGTCTTGGCACACTGTGCGATCGTCTTAACTGAATGTTGGCACTTATCTTTTTTTATCTCACAGGGGTGCCAAGACGCCGATACGTGCCATGTACCCGATACCTGTGCGGGACATCAATTAAATGCTTGGCCCTGACAATATAACGCACACCCCCGTGCGATGACTCCGATCCGTGCGATTCTGAATAAGTAGAGAGTGGCGAGTGGGTGTTTTGAACGCGCACCCCTGCGCCAACTCCGATCTGTGCGATCCTGACCATATCACAGCAGACACACACTAGCACTTCGTGTGCGTGTGCAGGTGTTGCAGCATCCGGACTACAACATAACGAACATAGAGATATCAGCACACCAACACCCAAAAACACACAAAACACATGCAGCGAAATAATATGCGGCGAATCAAAATCCGAGGCGGCGAGGCGGCGAATTACCTTGAAATTCCCCAACACAGAGGTGTGTGCTCACACACACACCACACACAAGCAACACGTTGGCTACGATGTCAGAGGGTGCAAGCGCGGAGTCTGTATTTTTCGTGGTATCGTAGTTGGTTGTGGTCGTTTGGTCTCGTGTGGTTTGTACGCGTTCTGAGTTGACTGAGTAGAAACCGTGTGCCGATTCCGACAAACACGACAATGTGTTGAACAACATCACTTGCACATTAGCAAACCTACGATGCCAAAGTACAGCAGTGGAGCCCCTGATACAAGCGATGTACCTTCGTACAGTAGTGGCCCGCGACAAAAGCTGGAAATCATGGTATCACCCAACTTCGCCGAAGGTATCGGGGTCTCCGCACACCCCTGTGCGAAGTGTACGATACCTGTGCGATAATCAGTTAAATCCCCCCGGTGTTTGCCATCGGGGTAGGGTTTTCGTCGCTTGGCAACGACGTTGTAAAACAAGCCAATTC